TGCATAGACTCATTGACCATTGACTGATTCAGATTGATAGATTGACATGCATATTGATAGCATCGCCGTGCTTTGATTTCAGTTATAGGTATTAGGTGACCTGCTGGGCTTTGTAAAGCTCATTATATGTGGTTGACAATTTCAGGTCCGAGCAAAGGAGCAGGAATGGAGATTGATCGAGACTGTCGACGAATCCTTTCACTATGGATGCCTGGGGCGTCACAGAAGCATACCTAGTAACGAGGAATTCATTTCGTGTTGTGACTTCCCTAACACACTGCTCAATATAAGGGACCAACTCTCCCCCTCCAACTGCAAGCTGTAAGCCTTTTATCAAACCTTTGTTCAAAATCAACCTTTATGTAGAAATTGCTTCTTCTTGTTCTTCCACGAATGACGCATGCACACCCAATGTCATGCGTCAAGATACACATGTCTAATTGCTTATCCCAAACCTTTCTCCATATCAAAAATAAAGGAAAATTTTGAAGTCTCTAGCATCATGAAAGCAAGAACAAATTTCTAATATTTTATCATCACTGATTGGTCGCATAAGTTAATCACTGCTTAAGTTTTTAAAGTCAATGTTGTTTGAAGCAACATTACTAGCTCTGTTGTTTCTAGGACAATGCTCTAAACCTTCCAAGTTCATATTAGCCTATGCATCCTCTTATAACGTAACAACAACTTCAACCTGCCTACTGTTAGTACATTGTCCTATTATTTGCATCGCCTCATTATCACTTGAAATTGTCTTGTAAAGTTTGGGAGGAGTAGGACTAACATGGTTGTGCAAAATCAATCATGATTCGTAATTTAGTGAAAATATAAAATTAATTTGTATCTTAACATAAATTTCACAATAAAAAAAGATTTTGACCAATAAAAAGTACACTCGCACGTACATCATATATGCAAGTTTTGAATTGAAGATCTCGTCGTAGGTAGCAAAAGCTCTCAACCAACAAATCAAGGAGAAATTATTATGTGCGGAGTCCGGAGGGCATCCGGACTCCAATCAGAACATGTCATGTCAGTTTGTACATACATTGTATACAATTTGTACATAATATACAAGCGACATGGACTATTCTGATTGGAGTCCTAACACAAGCCTGCGCCCGGATTCCGCACGTAACAATTTCTCCAAGTCAAGACCACCTGCGTAGTGTATATATATATATATATATATATATATATATATATTGAAACATAGATTTGCATAGCAGCTTTATTAGGAAAAAAAAATTAGTCCTGTTTATTATTTGAAAATTTTTATTTTGAATATTTTATTTTATGTGAATTTTAATCATAATTTTAAGAACATATGAGTTAACAAATTAATATGCATCCGACTTCGAAAAAAACGAAGAGGAAAAACATTCTGGAAAATTGAGCAACATTTATAATCAGAGTTCAATATCTAAATATAAATGAGGATAAAATTCAAAATCATTAAATATAAATTGAAATGTGTACAATATTCATTTTATAATATTCTTAAAATAAATTAAATAATTCTAAAATTTGTTGTGATAAAAAAATTAAACAAAATTTAAGTTTATTATTATTTTTGATATATCATAAAAAAAATTATCTAGGTTGGGCATGAATCTTAAGACAAAGTTGAATCAAAACTTTAAAAACTAAGAAGTAGCTGGCATAACTTATCGCACGAAGCCATGTTGGCACCAAATCACTGGTAACAAGCGCCCAAAAAAGTAAGCCTTAATAAAAACTTCTTTAAGGCACTTCAAAAGTGTCTTAATATATATGTCCTTAAAGGTTAATTCGATCCAATTTGAACACAAATGAGTCTAAATCAAGAGTCCAAAACACATTTGAAAGCTTCAAATCATAAGTTGGATGACCAAATGATTTCCAACTATGACATGCTTATAGTTGAATCAAGCGACTCGACGAGACGAATACAACGATCCCAAGATCTTTGAATTTTAATATCATTAAAATACTCAAATGCACGATACACGGTCCATGATCAAGGGAATCGGTATTTGCCGCTCATTCAAAACACTCTCAACCTATCATTGATATTCTCACTATTTACTAAATATGCAACTCTTAAAAAATTATAAATAGACATCGCATTCTTCACAAGAAAGAGAGAGAGAGAGAGAGAGAGAGAGAGAGAGAGAGAGAGAGAGAGAGAAAACAAAAGAATAAGATGACGGAGGAGGATAAGTTTGAGATATCTCTTGTCGCCAAGCTCCTCCTCGACCACCGTCAGACCATCCTCGAATCACCTGTCGTCGCTGGACTTCTACTCGGTCACCATCCGTCGTCGGACTTTTGCACGACAACCGACCGTCCCTGGACTTCCTACCGGCCACCAACAATCGTCGGACTTTCGTCCGACCAGCTATTGACGCTGGACTTACGCCGGCCACCGACCGTCGCCGGACTTCCTCCCAACTCGCTCTATTATCATAATTTCACTGTCTTCTAATTAAAGGACGGAGTAAGCTTTGCAACATATTCAAACAATAGTTGAATCAGTTGGGCTGGGTCAGGCCCTATGATTTGTTCCCTTTCTAAGATCGAGTTTCCACATAAAAACTCTAGTGTTTTTTATTTCTCTATTGTGTGTTGGATATCCATACAACACTAAGATGAAAAATCTTCTCACTCTGGTACCGCGTATATTCAACCCTCAACAATTATTGTTAATTTTTCTTTACTAAATATTTGGATATCATTTGATCTTTCAATTTATCTCAATTTTTTTTTTAAATATACTTCAAGTTATTAATTTGGGTTCATTTGAATTAAAATTTGTTTTGGACAGCTTTTTTTGTGCTTTCTAATACAAAATTTTATTATATTAGAAATTTTAAACTAGAAAGTCGTTTTAGAAAACAATTAGAAAAATGTAACAAAATTGTCCCAAACGAAGCCTAATTTCGAACCAATTTTTGTGTTTTTTTACTTGACTTGAAGAGATTTCCAATTCAATTATAAATTTGTTAAAACCACTGCTCGAATTATTCTAAATTTAATTATAAATTTTTTTCAATTTTAATAATGCATTACGATTCATACTAATCAATTAATTTTTTTGAGCCGTATCATTTGCCTCTTTATTGTGAACATCAAATTATGTATCATCTAAAAATATACATATTTAATTTTCATAACAAAATCATTTTATAAAATCATGATTTTGAAAAAAAAATTTACATGTTACATTGACTCCCAAGATGTCAACATATACCTCCCCAGAGCACAGTGAACCAAGCCTCTTCAATTATAATTTCAGTCTTCTCTATCTCAATTATAGTTACATCATCTTTCTGATGCAGCATTTAAAAAATTTATCACAAAGTTTTTTGATAAATAACAAGAAAGTAATAGCCAAGTAAAATAAAACAATAAGAAAATTGTCTAAAACATATCTTTATATGACATGACTTCCACCATTCTAGTTTAAATTGTTTATTCTTCATTTATGAATTTCTAATAAATATTAAAAGAAAAATGAACTTGTTGCATCCTGGAATATTCACGGTGATAGAGAAATATAAAGTTTAATGTCTTAGTTTTGTATGATGATCCAACACAATCAAACAAAAGAGAGAGAGGTATGGTATTCAAAAGAGACACCAAAATTTTTACATGAAAACCACTGAAAAGGGGAAAAATTTATGGGACCTAGCCAAAATTAAATAAAATCACTGGTGTTTGCAGTCGATTAAAAATAAGACCTTTCCTTTGGGGGGGAGGAGGAGGTCTTAGCTTGATGTAACAAATATACATCATAGAGATTGCTTTACATAGTGGGAGTTGGAAGAATCAAAGTTGGCATGTTTGTTTAGTTAGTTGGACCATAGTCTGTAGGTGACGATGGTTGGAAAAATTATTGTTTGGCAAAAAAACTCAGAAGGACCGTAGTTGATGGGCAACAATGGTCAAAGAGACCGTAGTCAGGAGACGGAGATCGGAATGACCATAGTCGCCGAACGACGATGGTCAGAAAGATTATAATCGGGCAATGATGGTCGGAAGGACCCTAGTCGGTGGGTGATGGAGGTCAAAAAGATGATAGTTGGGCAATGGTGGCCGGGAGAAAATCCGACGATAATCGGTGACCGAGCATAAGTTCAACGACATATGGTGGCCAAACAAAAGCCCTACGAAAGTCCAACTATGGTCGGTGGCCGAGCGTAAATCCGACATCAGTTGGTGGCCAAGTGGAATTTCGGCGATAATTGGTGGTCGGGTGTAAGTTCGATAACTGTTGGTGGCGAGTGGAAGTTCGACAAAAGTTCAGTGATGGTCGATTGTCAGGCATAAATTCGACATTAGTTGTTGGCCTTATGGAAGTCCAACGGCAATTGGTGGTCGGGCGTAAGTCCGACGACAGTTGGTGGCCGAGCTGAAGTCCGACAAGAGTCGGTGGTCGAGAAGGAGCTTAGTGGCAAGAGAGATTTCAGAATTATCTTCATATCCTGTCTTATTTCCCTTTTTTTCTCTCTTCTCCTACCATCCTTGCTTGATCCTCCCTCAATGAAGAATGAGGGGTCTATTTGTAATTTTTTTAGAGTGGCATGACCAGTAAATAGGGAGAAGATCAAGGGCGCGTTGGGTGCGACCGAAATCAATTCCCTTGCTCGTAGATAGTTTATCAAGTATTCGAGTGCCTTAATGATGTCAGAATTTGATGATCTTAGGCTTGTTGGATTCATCTTGTCAAGCTGCTTGATTCACTACAAGCATGTCACATTTGGATATCATTTGATTATCCAATTTATATTTTGAAACATTCTAAATGTGCTTCAGTCCCATGATTTTGACCCATTGGGGCTCGGATTGGGTCAAATTTGGAGTCGTTGTGTTCTTCTTTTCAAGACATTCAGTTTGCTAAAAGCGGAGTTCCGATGGTATCAAATTTAATTTCAAAAATTTCTAATTCAAATTTGCTTCGAGCTTCATGCCCGGTCATAAAAATTATTTGATGATGCATCAAAACTTAATTATTATAATGTTATAAAATCAGCATGAATATGTAGGGACCTTAAATTTGAAAATTTTAATGGGTTGTTTTTTAAATTTATGTTGCCCCGATGAAACATTATCTAAGCTAATTTAAAATTAATTATATCTATATCTTTTAATTATTAATTAGAATATGCGATGTATTAAATAAGAATTTTACATTTATAAGATCTTATAGGTCAAAGTTATTTCTCAAATTTTTTATATATGATGGGTTTTATATTGAAATTCTTTGGGTTGTTTGGCAATTCTTTTTGTAATGAATTTTTGCAAGCTTAAACACTATCATTATCTTACTAAAGTGCTAGAATGAGAGTTATATAAATCTATATTTTACTTCTGATCATTTTTGATATCTAACTTCACAGTTTGTCTATATATATATATAAGATGCATGGAGAAGCATGATCAAAGCATTTGATGGTGTAGACATTGGAGTAATATGTAAGCTCTGAACATTTAAGACCTCCATTCTAGAACAACCCATCCTGAACTTCATTTTCCATTCAATGACTACCTTGATAAAACCATGAAATTTTATGAAGAACTTGATTCATTGCACTAGCCGCCTAACATTCCCTTAAAAGTTTCATCTTCAACGATGGAAGGAAACCATCCACAAGTGTAATTCTCTCAATAACATTAATAAACAACAATTGAGCATGTCTTTGCAATGTAAATATCGGTCTTATAACTCAACAACTTAAATCTCATACATCTCTTATGCTTGTATTCTTTTCGCTGGGCGTTTAACACCTTATCAAGTATCTCAATCATTTGATTCATTTCATCACATTTTTTTTTTCTATCGTGTTCTTTTTTGAATTCTGCTCATTCGATTCGATTGAATAGAGAAAACACTTTTTTCAAACCATGAATAAAGAATAATATCATTTACAATGAGAACGAAAAAATATATTTGTTATGCGGGGAAGATTAGAAGAGCAAAAAGACTTGACTACTTGTTAGAATCGCCATATGAAATTCATTCTTGTCATCATACTGCATCTATATGGATAGATGACATTAAAAATTATCCAATTTTTTAGGCAACTAAAATCATAATATCATAATGTTTAACCATATAAATTAGGCTCAAACATTTCATATTTTTATATCAACATATTTTCCAAGCCGCGTGTCTTAATAATTCAGTCTTTTTTTTACATTATAATTTATCACATCAACCATCAGGTCTCACAGACAGAATCATCATCAACTATCACATACATATACCCCATTTGATCATCTGGATCTATTGTGGGAGTCACTTATTACTCTCTGAACCTTACTCAATCATGATTGAAGGGAAACCAAGCCTTATGAAAGCTACAAACTACATAAAGCACTTCAGGCTAGTTGAGCCAATGACTATGAGACCGCTTCTTACAACGTGCAATACAATGATGATCAAGTCCATATTTAACATCAACTATTGATGCATGCATATACATAAAATTTCGTGTCATAAAAATAGATTATACTTATTTAATTATTTATTTTTTCAAGTCTAACATTACACCTATATAAGATCAATTTCTACATAGATAATCTCTCTCTTTAGCTTCATTTGAGACGGTTTTTTTACTGTTTCTTAAAACAATTTTTTAGTTAAAATTTTTTAACTTTTGTATTAAAAAATTGCTTTAAGAAGCAGAAGGAAAGCCGTCCCAAATAAAACCTCTATATGAAATTGATATAAATAAATAATACATGTTATAATATTTTCTGAATTTTAATATTCAGAGATAAATTTGATAAATATAATAAAAATAGTAATTTATAAATAAAAACAATTTAGTATTACAAATGAAAATATACTTTACCCTATCAACTAGTCAAAAGCACCGGAATCAGAACGAACCATCCTAAACGGATATAAACCGCATCGCCCATCGCGCGGCTTAAACCCTCCTAATCCCCTACACCCACCTCTTCAGAATCCATCGCCTGAAAATGGACCACGGCGTCGCCACCTGCACGATTTCGTTCCAAATTCAACCCAAATGGGTCCGATTAGGGTTAGGTTCCAGCGAGCTCAACAATCTCTCCCTCTTTCCTTCTTCTCATGCGGGTCGCCTGAGCTGTCCTCGCAGGTGGAAGCATCTTTGCCTTCGGGGAGAAGGGACTAACCACTCAACGTGGGATGAAAAACCTTACGAGATTCTTCCCGGAGGAAGAATATCTTATATTGATGAGCAGGACATTGTGGCCTTCGTGGATCCTCCCACGGAGCTTATTCCCCTCGACCCGGAATCTTACAACCCTGCTGCCTACCTCTGGTTAACTTCAAGCGATGAAGAAGTTCATCGACATGTTTTTTTTTCGTATTAGTTTTTTAGTCGTTTCTTTCAATTGCATTTGGTCACAGAATGAAGGCAAGGATTTTTTTTTTTTAGCTTTTTATCCTTGTTTGAGTTTCCATTTTAATTCCGTTTCGCGGGTTTGTTGAATGAGGGGGAAACGTTCTTGCAAACAAGTAGTATTTGGCTGGAAGGTAAAACCCGGGCGGTGTGTTTTATCCATCTGTGTTTTGCGCGTCTTAGATGATTAGAGAGCGCTGTTATGAAAAACATGCATAATTGTATACCTTGAACGAATACAATGAACACACCAAGAGATTTTGTTTTGAACCTTCCTGTTGAAAAGAACAAGAACAAGATAGCTAGGCAGCTCTAGCTTGCCCGAGCTTTACAAAGAACAGAAGTGGTAGAAGTGAAGAACAATTATAGGGAATATAGAGAGAATTACTTTCATTCATTCATCCATATGTCCCCTAATTCCTCCTTAATAGGAGTATTTATATAATACTAATAAAAAACTGACCCTGCCTGCTCTCAAAGTCAAACAAGACGACAACATTGTGGAAGGAGTTGAATGACAGGTTTCTTGAGGGTGGGAGACATCAAGGTCTAGCATGGGGTGTCTTGAAGGATTGTTGGATTTGGAGCTGGTGCTGGCCTTGAATGATTTGGAAGAGGTGGTTTGGGAAGGGCATCGATGAAATAGACAAGAACTTCGACTCACTTGAGTTTTTTTTGTGAAGAGGTGGATATTGACAGTGTGGTTGGGAGGCGAGATCTGTGCATAAATTTGGTGATCTAGTGGTTAGAAGGCAGTGAAATTGACACGATATGGTGGGTGATGCAACGATGTATCTTGTGGTATGGGAAGGCATTGATTGTTGGATGCAAGAGAGATGGTGCGTGCAGACGTGCAGTTGGGTCAGAAGTGGTTTAATCGGAGGGAAATTAGGAGGGCTGGACAGTTGTGTTTGGTCTGGATCTTTAAGGATTGTTGGATATGGATGATGATGAATAATAATTCAAGGACATCAGCAACTCCAGAAGGAGGTGGAGATATAGAGACCAGAACAAAGGTTGGGGAAATCTCAACTAGAGCGCCATTGTTGCGAACCTTCCTATAAAAATAACAAGAGCAAGATAACCAGGCAAGTCTAATTTTCTCAAGCTCGAAGAAGAAGAGAGGGAGAAGAACAACATGGAAGAGAGAGAACTTTCATTTATTCATCCATCGATATGTACCTTAAATTCTCTTCAACAGGAGTATTTATATATTAAAAAAGCTACTAATCCTTTGCTAACTAAATTTTATCTAATTAACTACTCTTATCAGCCCAACATAATAATTAAATCAACTTCATCCTCATTAACCTATCATTACCTATGCCTTCAAAACCAACCTTACCCTCAAGGTTGAATGAAGACACTGAGGTTGTGGAAGAGTTGAAAATAGGTTTTTTGAGGCTGGAGACATAGAGATCTAGTGAGGAGAGGCTTGGCGACAAAGAGATATGGCGAGAGGTGGCTTGATGTATTGTTTGATCAGGAAGGCGCTTTCATCTTGATGAGTTGAAAAAGGTAGATTGGGAAGACCGTCGGTGGAATGACAAGAACTTCAACTCGCTTGAGTTCTCTTGGAAGGAGGTGGATCTTAATAATGTGGTTAGGAGGCGAGATATTTGTGTAGATTTGACATAGGCTAGGAGCAGCAGGTGGTAGATATGAATCATAAGAAGGTGTTGACAATGGGATGCGTAAGATGGTGTGGTTAAGCTTTGAGTGGCATAATACTGACAAATCTTGATGAGGGAAATGGAGAAGGGACTCGGAGTGGAATTTGGAGAGGCATCTGTGCAATTGGATTCAATACTTATGATCATTGAGGATTGTTGGATCTGGATGATGATAAATGACAATTCAAGGATGTCAGTAACTCCCAAAAAAAAAAAAGGTGGGGGAGATAAAAAGACCATAAATCAGGTTAGCAAAATCTCAATCCGAGAACCACCATTGTTGTGAAACTTACTGTAGAGAAGAATAAGAATAAGAAAGAACAAGATAACTAGAGAAATTTGGATTAGGAAGATCGTGGCAATTAGATTAGGAGGTTGATTGGAGGTAGGAATTGCAAAGCTAGATGAATTTTGGAGCAAATTTTAAGGATATTCACCCCGATGTAAAACTGATGGAATTTGAATACTAGAGAAGGAAAAAAGAGAAGAAACTAAGGGAAATGCCGTGTACTCAACTTGGATCAAAAGATAAGTTGTATGATTGTCTCAATAATAATATCATTCATCAATCAATAATCCGTTCAAATATAAGCCATGAATCTCTATTTATAGAAATATGATTACAAAGATTAGATATAATATTTTGATATCAAATATAATCCAAATCTAATAGTTCCTATTAATCCTATGTTATAAATTGAAATAAAGATAATCTATTAAATAAAATTGTAATTGCAATAAAATATAAGTCTAATTTTTAATATTAAACATTTCTTAGAATAATCTTCATGCGTTGCATCACCTAGCACTTTTGACAAACCCATATGTAGAGTAATATAACTAAACTTTTTTCAGAAGTTTACATTTAGTTACCTTTATTTTGGTCTTCCTCACAATTTAATCAAGACGCAATGGTGTTAATGGTTGAATCAGGGCTTGTTGGTGTTTGAGTGTGTGGGATACACCTTTTGTGAAGCTCCCAATAGCGTCAACAGATATCCCAGCCCACCTAGCACGAAGGGAGTCTTCTCATAAATAGTTAAGTTTCTCATTAGTGTGACTAGACTGCTAGGAGACCTTCCACATCTATGACAGCTCTGTTAGTGCTTATCAACCGGGCTAAGGAAATCTCCAATGTTATCGGAGTCTTGCTTGCATGCGGGGTGACATGCCATAGGGATAATCTCCTTACCCCCCTTTCTATGGGGATTTGCAAGGAAGTATTGTAGACCAGCAAAGCCCTTCTTTCAATTCGTAATGTTGTTTATTTTAACGGTTCATTTTGTAGCTTGTTGACAAGAAATGTAAAGGCACCTGGTTGTGAAGGTAAAAGTACTCACGAATTTTGAAAACCGTAGGCCTGAAGTGTGGATAAAGGTAAGATTTGGGTAACTAATTGAAGTTCACTAGAGTTTTTAAACAATCAATCAATAGAAAACCTAATGAATGGTTGTCTACGGAAGTAAAGTGATACCTTGAAATTATTTTTTTTTATGATAATTCTGAAAGATCTTGCAGGTGGCAGCCATCTTCCAAAGAATGTTTTTCTTGATATGGTTATACTATCACGGTTTGCATGGCATTGATTGCTGGGTCATATCTATGGAATGACTTTGTATTTCGTGATCATAAATTAACATATTTTATGACAGGAAGAAACTTGAAGATATTCCTGAAGAAAGGAGGCATAGATTGCTCGCTTCACTAAAGCCTAAGTATTTTTATGCCTCTTTTTTTATTTTGATGCTCATAATGATTTGAAAAAAAAAAAAAGAATATTCTCACTCTTTTGATATGTGTGGTATTGCTTGGCCTGACTGCATAAGTTCCCCCAACTTCTAGCATTCTTTAGATTTTTCTTACATAAGCAATTACCTGCTAATTCTAAATTGCCTCTTTAAGTGCAGGCATATACCTAAGATTTGGGAACTAACAGGTACACGTTATCAGGATGCTAAGCTGGCTAAACAAGTAGCATCTGCATTGCTGTCCATGGATGTCAATTCCATGCCTCCAGAGTATTGGAGATGTAGAACCAGCAAAGGTGCCTACTTTTTGGTTGTTGTGGTTAACCTCCATTTAGGAACATTACCATCTTCTCTCTATGAGCTGCTGCAATTTAATCTAAACACAATGAGCCAAGTGCTTGATATTCTATCAAATGTTATGGGTATTTTTTGATATTTTCCTCTTTCTCGATGCTTCTCATCATGGACAGAGATTCATCTAGAAACATCAACAGAGAAATTACTAGAGTTCAACTAGCTCTAGAGAGGAGTCATCATGTGAATGGTGGCTAACCTCCATTTTAGGAACACCACCATCTTCAGTTAGGGAAATTATGAGAACGGTGCATGTGAGAAGAGAAGCAAGGAGAGAATGATAGAGAAGAGATAAGAGAGATATGTACTTATTTCTCCCAATTTTTATATTGGATTTCTTTGTGTGGTGTGGCTCAGTAATTTTTTTCCTATTTTGAGTTTTTCCACGTTAAATCATGGTGTCTTTTAATTTTCCACTACTTTTACTTTCTTGATTGTTTCATCATTGTGGTATTTACTCCTCAATCTTCATCATCCCCCAATCTACGATTCCTACTATTCTGCTATCAATCCCATTGGTGGTTCGTATTCCTAATGTTTTAATATTAGGTTGGTCTATTTGTTTGGCATGATATTAGGTTGGCTTGGTTCTAGACTATCTTCAAGTTCAAGACCTATAGGTTAATTCAAATGTTATGGATGTCTTTGATTTACTGTTGGTGTTCTGATGTTTCCTACGGTTCCTACTCCTATGCTACTATTGATGCCATTGGTGGTTTCGACTTCTATTATTGTGGTCTTTTTGTTATGTGGGTCCTATTTGTCTGAGTCTCCTGTTACTATCCATGGATGTATTCAAACGACAAGATTTTGATAGATCCGAGTCTCTATTTACGTTGCTTTCTAATTGAGTATTAGATAACATTAAGTTTGAAGTTTTCTGGAAGTACATTGGGTTGATCTTATGCCAGCCATATATGCTATGGGATGCAGAATCTATAAATATATGATTTGAATTTTTGTATTTTTATCTTGCTTTTCATCGTAAGTTGCAGTTGAAATCTGAAACCTTTAATTGTTGGGATTTTTACATACATAACATCTAAAATTATTGAAAATACATATTTAACACAAACTTCTATATTTACTAATATACCACATAAAATCTCATTTTCCCTCTATTCTACCACTCCATTGAAGCGATGAGATACTTGTATTCACTTTGAAAGGATGCCATTGACAGGAAGAAAATCGTTGATAGTGATTTTTTACGGAAGGTTTAAACGGAATGTTATAATTGATTAAAAAAGGGGATTTATGTGGTATATTAGTAAATATAGAAGTTTAGATGTTAAATATGTATTTCCATATTTTTAGGTGTTATGTATGTAAAAATCCCTTAATTTTTTTGTATCAAATTGACATCAGAGAGTAGATCTTGTTTCTTTGAAGTGGGGTGATTATCATGGTATGTTCACGGATCAACAAAACGATAATATTCTAAATATTTAATAATACTAATTATAAGAGTTATTAATATCAGCTAAACATGCCATAAGCTGAATTAATGATTGCTTTAAACATTATGTTAGATATTAGTCCAGTTTTAAATTAGGTTGTTCCGCAATATACCACACCAGTCTTTTGTTAATAAATAGTGCATAGGTTGATGTGGGTTAAGTAAATTCAAAACACTCCATTGGATGGCCTATATTGATTCCTTCAATCGTAGACCATTCATTCAATATTTAATTGCCTTAATGATGTCGGAATTAAGCGATCTCAGGCTCATTGGATTTGTATTGCCAAGGCGTTTGATTCAACTGCAAGTATGTAAGATTTGGAGATCATTTGATCATCCATTTGATGTTATCATGTTTTTAATTATGCTTTGACTACTCAATCTAGGCTCATTCGAACTCGTATTGGACCACTTTTGATATCATTGGGTTTTTCTCATTAAGATGTTTAGTTTGACAATAAGTTTGTTGAAATTGGAGTTTTAATGGTCCTAAATTTAATCTTGACAGTTTCCAATTCAAATATGCATCGAGGTTATTTTGATAGATCCGAGTCTCTATTTACGTTGCTTTCTAATTGAGTATTAGATAACATTAAGTTTGAAGTTTCTGGAAGTACATTGGGTTGATCTTATGCCAGCCATATATGCTATGGGATGCAGACTCTATAAATATATGATTTGAATTTTTATCTTGCTTTTCATCTTAAGTTGCAGTTGGAATCTGAAACCTTTAATTATTGAAAATACATATTTAACACATAAACTTCTATATTTACTAATATACCACATAAAATCTCATTTTGTGTCCATGCGCGCGGGAGCAGGGCACACAAGCTGTCCACAACTTGGTGCGGGTGTTTGAGCTAGAGAATGCGGAGCAGAGGTGAAGCCTTGGTCGTGCGGGACAACACGCGCAGGACACACAGGTGAAGGCGTGCTGCAACGTGTGCAGGGTCTGGGGCGCGAGCGCGAGGCGTGGGCAGACACGATCCAAGGGTGTTCACGTGTGGGGTTTGCCCTAGGGAGGCATGCGGGAGAACGCACCAGGCCTGGGCGCACGCGTCGGATGCTGCACAGGCGCGTGCATGACATTTTTTGGACTTTGTGATTTCAAGTAACGGATACGAAAGTAGGTGGAGCAGAGGTGGAGCTGTGCTAGGACTGGGGCGATAGGAGACTTGAGAAGATGGCAGAGCTGCTTGAGGAAGTTTGTAACCGTCTGGTAGAGCCAATTGGCGGGGAAAACCAGCGGGGCAGTTCTTTGTGGACAACAAATATCTTTTCTTATTTTTGTAAAATCGGACCTAGATGGAATTTATTAGATATTGGTCCAATTTTAGGTTGGTTGTATCTAGGTGCATTTTATCTTGTTTAGCTTGTAAATAAGGGTGGCTTTGTAGTGTGTATGGGGCCCATGAATAAGAAATAAAGAATTCCTATGAAAGTTGTCTCCCTCTCCTCACTCCTCCCTTCCATCTCTCTCCTTCATTCAAGAATTTCTCCAAGATTCATAACACATTAGAAACTAATCAATGATGCTTACAAGAACCTGATAATGAACCAAGCCTAAATGAAGAACTCATTCATAGCATTTTTAGGAGATGTGGGACTCAACATGAAAGAAATAACTAAGATTAAAAAAGAAAAATTGATGCATTTGTGTTGTGGGAGGATTGATCCTAAAACTTGCTCTGATGGGGTGATGGATATGAATGCTTTTTTTATTAGCAAACAATGTCATGTGAATGCCAAATAGGATTTGTGGAATTAAAACTTGTAGGATAGGAAAAAATATATTGAATAGTTGTAGGAAAAAAAGAGATGATTGGGGTTAAAATCTACTACCATATGGTTTGAAATGAAATTTATTAAAAGAAATTGCATATTATCGCCCTATGATGGTTGATTGCTCGATGAATATAACTTCTTATAACAAAGCACAATGCCTTTAACTTAATATATGAGTAAGATTGAAGAAATATTATCATGTTTTGAAATTAGGAATGATAAAAAAACATTAATTTATATCTTAAATTTATCTTAAAACCTAAACTCTTAGAGAAATGATCCCACATTCAATTAATTTTCTCGGGGATATTTTTCAACTTTCTTTAAATTACAAACAAAGGTGTGTACCTAAAGGCCTAAACAAAGTTGCAAACAACTTCTATGATAGTTTTGCTAAGGCCTTGAATTCATTTTGTTAAAAAATTGATCATTATTAGGATATATTTTCTTTGACAACCTACTAAAGGAAAAGGACATTAAATTCATCCACCACACAATAAATAAAAATTCAGGAACTACAGGTTCAATATAATCATCTTTAACCTTGTCCCAACTATTTGGGGTTAAATTTGAGGAAGTGATGACAAATTTACACCCTAAAACATTATGTAGAAGTTTTTGTATAATTTATTCTCATTGTTTTTCTTTTGCGCTTCTTTGGTGCAATAAATCCTTTTTGCGTGCCAGAATATTCGCTGCTGTAGAGAGATAGAGAGTTTGTTATCTTAGCATTTGTGTTAAGATCCAACATGCACAAACAATAAGGAGTGTAGAATTGTAAAAGATACTAGAATTTGTTATGTGGAAAACTGGGAGAAGAGAAAAATCATGGGGCTTGACCCAGTTAATATGATTCCAATAGTATTTGTCTTTTGTTATAAAATATACCATTCTCCGGGGGAAGGCATTGATTCAATGTAGCAAACATATATTGTATAGAATATATCTCGTGTTTAAAGTTGGAAGTACCCTAAGGCGTAAGAGCTGTCTTTAAGAGATTGTTTGCTTTTTTGTCTGGTCATATTCCTTTGAGAAGGGGAGACCATAGCTCAAGAAGCCCAACATAAATCTCAGTTATGACATCAAGAGTCAGAGTTGGTGTTGATGGTTTGCATTGCTCTTATAAATAATGGCTCACATTGACATTATTTGCGATGGTAGGTGCTGAAGTCAACGGGCATCCGTGTAGCCTAACAATAACTGTCATAAGACCATAGTCAGACAATGGAGGTTAGAGGATTGCGGTTGGGAGATGGTGGTTGGAGGATTGCAATTAGATGATTGTAGTCGGAGAACCGCAGTTGTGCGATGATGATGGTTAGAGACCACAATCAGGCGATGGTGGTTAGAGATCTGGTGGTTGGAGGGTTGTAATCAAGTGACACTAGTCTAAAATGTTTGTAATCGAGCGATTATGGTTAGAGGTCGGCATTCGGGCGACTATGGTCGGAGAACCATAGTTTGGTGATAGTGGTCGGAGGTCAGTAGTCGGGTGACAGTGGTCGGAGGGTGATAGTCAGGCGGCTGTGTTTGGAGGTTTGTATTCAAGCGATGGAGGTAAAAGTTTTGTAGTTGGGTGACGGAAGTCAGAGATCCATAGTAGGGTGATGGTGCTGCAATGATAGTGTTTTAGCGCCGCTCCAATGGTGACTTTTAGGAGATGTTTTGATGCGGCGGTCGTGTGATGTTCTGACAGCAATGCTGGGTGATGCACTGTCGACTTCAGTTGGGTGGTGGTTAGATTGCGATAATTGGGTGGTGGCCTAATGGAGATCGTTAAATGGTTGCTTGACGATGGTGCTCATGTGGAGCTTTGAGATTCTTAGAGCCTCTCAACTCTCTTGAATCTCAAGACTAAGTTTAAACTCTAGCTCCCTTCTTTATGAGGAGAGTGAGGGGCATATTTATATATTTGTGAGAGTGGCATGCCCCATAATCATGAAGTAAATTCAAAACACTCCATTGGATGACCTGTATTGATTCCCTCAATCGTAGACCATTCATTCAATATTTAATTGCCTTAATGATGTCGGAATTAAGCGATCTCAGGCTCATTGGATTTGTATTGCCAAGGCATTTGATTCAACTGCAAGTATGTAAGATTTGGAGATCATTTGATCATCCATTTGATGTTATCATGTTTTTAGTTATGCTTTGACTACTCGATCTAGGCTCATTCGAACTCGTATTGGACCACTTTTGATATCATTGGGTTTTTCTCATTAAGATGTTTAGTTTGACAATAAGTTTGTTGAAATTGGAGTTTTAATGGTCCTAAATTTAATCTTGACAGTTTCCAATTCAAATATGCATCGAGGTTTGTGCCCAATTAAGGTGATTTTGGACAATGTATCATGTATAATAAGATTGGCCATACATTCGTGGAATATATTTCAACGAAACATTATATATTTTGGGATTGTGTGAACTTCGTAGGTGAAACTTGTTTCATTTTATGAATTGTGATATTATGTTTGGTCGGCACCTCATGGGCCGACTGGACCGGTCCAACATGGACCGGTGCTTACTTAACTCCAGGCGGGCCCCATATGGGGCGGAAATGGGCAAGAGGGGGGAAAGCCTTGGGGCCCATGATGGGGTTTAATTCAAGTGTTGGAGGGAAAATTTGAAGGGAAGGGGGGAAATTTGAATAGAAGGGTTGTTTAGGGATTTTGTATGGGTTGGGAGTTAAAGAGGGGGAAAGGGGGGGATTTAGGTTTTCATCTTGAATTTGGGCTGATTTTTGGGATCTTCTTGGAGGCTTGGGCTCTAGTCTTCTTGGGTAGAGATTTTGGAGAGTTCTCTTCCTCTTGAATTGAAGAATCTTATTTGGTTATTGTCTTATTTCTCCTACTAGTGGAGTACAAGTGGGTGGTTTGATTTTTCTCAGATTCCTATTCAATTTCTTTGATGTTTTCCACTGTTTGGGGCTGTTTAACTGCTGTAAACAGCAGTTTTGCTGTTGTTTGTTCACCAATTTGGGATAGGGTTGCTTGCGAACTCAAGTATTACCTTAGGGTTACTTGCGAACTCAAGTATTTCCTATCATAGTCTATTGCAAGTGTCTTATTTTAGTCTTAACTGCCAATTGTTCTTGTAGTCTAAGTTTAGTCGCCTACCTCTCTCTCTCTCTCTCTCTCACACACACACATAGGCGCCTGTACACACACATAGGTATTAACCATTTTAGTCCTTTTTGGCAAAGTCTTTTCCTTGCTTCTCTTCACTTGTTTGTTCATGCATAATTAGTTTGAAGTACAATGGACGATCCAGAATTTGTTGCATTATTTTATAATAAAATAGTCTTCAATTGATTAACATTTTTCTTATTCCAATTTTGTTTTATGAATGCGTGCATGACTTTGTTTAATATTTTTGTAATAGCAGAACTGCAATAATGGTGTGCATGCTTTTGTATTGTGTCAAAAGTTCTATCTCGGATGGTTTTTTTTTTGTCATTAGCATTTCTCTACTCTTGCACCTGCAGCAGCAACAACGACAACAACATCAACCTTTTATCCCACTATATGAGGTACTATTGCACCTCTGAGGTTAATTTATAAAAAGACACCAATGATGTCCCAGAAGTTCACCATGATAAGCAATTTTTGAACAACTAATTGATCACAAAATGTCTTCATGTAAACCGTCCAGTTATTCAACTTAGGAAATTATTTATGCCATTTTACTCATTTGGATATACATTTACTAAAATTCATGTATAAGCATTATTGATTCTTATTTTTTTTGTGCTTTTGGACATTTGAAACAGGTCCAATGCCATTTTCTTGGTTAAATGACTTCAGAAAGGTCACATTAACTTAACTAAGTTTATTCTGACCGCTTTTTCTTTCTTCAAGTATGTATAATGCTAAATATCTCAAGGCATTTTTAAATTTTGACATTAGTCAGGCCATTTTCCAAGGGAAGGATGGGAGCACATATGGAAGAATAATCCTTCGTAAGATTATCTATTCCAAATAAAATTTTTTTAAAATTATTTTAAGAATTTTTGCAGGCATTCTTTGTCTCTTTTTCTTCTAATTTGTTTTTTATATTTGTCAAAAGACTTGTTTATTAGAGTCTAAGAATTAAACTCTTTGATTTCAAGTTGAATATGTGTAGGAGCTTTGTACGCTAGAGTTTTAGTGGTCAAACTATCAGTTTTTATGCTTGACCGAGAATATCCTTTATGCTTGACCGAGAATATCCTCTACAATAACTAAGTAGTTTCGAATTTTACTTAACTTTTCATTAGGTTTATGATAACAAATAAATGCTTATTGGATTTTCAGTTTCCTAATTTGATAGGAAGCACTTGTAGATCTCAAGTAATTCTTATTAATCTTTGGAAAACAGCGAGAATTCTTCACAAAAAATCTACACAAAATTAGGAAAAACAGTAGATAATTTGTATTATTTGATGAAATGAAAACAGAAAATACCAAGATACAATTGATCCTCTATTCAAGAGGAGGATCTATCTCCCCCAATTCTCCAGATGCTGCCGTTAGAGCCCAAAACCTGTAAGAGATCTCATATTTCAGCCAAATTAAAGATGCCCTAACCCTAGGAAAACAAACTATTTGATGCATACAATCTAAAAGGAAATCTCTTAACAGTCCCTATATTTAAATTTCCCTCCTAAATTTCTCTTAAAACCTTCATAATATGTTTTTTTAGACTATGCGGTTTGATCGGCATACGCAGGAAGCGGAACTTCTCCGCCTTTTTGCCCGCAAGCCGGTCCGATATGGACCGTCTGGATCGGTCTAATGGACCGATCTAACAATACTCACCTCCCAAAGACTCACCTTGTTCGCAAGGTGGAAATACGACACCCTCCTCCCTTCCCTCATAATCACAAACGATAAGAACATGAAGAGTTCGGTCCGTACACATGTGCCCCGACGTATACCTCTCATCACATCTGAAATAGAGCCCCTTCGCCCTCTTCTCCTGTAATTCTATTTCTGTGAGCTTCTTGAAGTTGTCCCCAGTTCTTCCTATTGTAGTCTTTTCTTTGAAGCCCTCCGAATAGTGTCCGGTGTTGGCTCCTCGGATGCCAATAAGGTGATGGTCATCCTATACGAGCCTCCTGAACTGCTGCCTCCCGTTTCTCTCTCCAGGTGCCTCTCCTCTTCCTAACTGTTGTGCAGATCTCTAATTTCAATCACTTCATAAAGTTCCCCTCAAGTACAATCTCTAGAAGCCGATCTAGTTGACTGGCGAGATACTCAAATTGCTCGCGGTACTCCACTATTTTCCCCTCATGCATCAAAGTGAAGAACTGCTTATAGAAGTTCCCTCCCTTGCTTGTTTGGAAACGTTCCAATAAATAGTCCTTAAACTCCCTCAAGGTCTGTATCGGTCGCCTCGTATCCCTCCACTGGTACCATGCTAAAGCCTTCCCAAGCACATCCCCGACATTGCGTTCTCGATCACCCCAGCACTGAACTACAGAGAGCAGAGCGCCGTCATGGTATAGATACGACGCTGAAGCGGTGCAAGACAGATGCTTGAGCACCGCATCACCTCAAACTGGCGTTGCAGCACTGCGAGACGGACTGTACGGTTTTCTTTCTCGTTTTTCTAAAGATTTGCGTCCCTTGGGGTTATTTTACTTGGCTTTCTCCTTAGTAGTTTGTGTGTATAGGCATTGAGAACGGTGCATGTGAGAAGAAAAGCAAGGAGAGCGAGAGAGAAGAGAGATCTGTACTTATTTCTCCCAATTTTTTTAGTGGATTTCTTGATGTGGTGTAGCTCCGTGGTTTTTTTCCTATTTTTAATTTTTCCACGTTAAATCCAAGTGTCCTTTACTTTTCCGCTGCTTTTACTTTCTTGCTTGTTTCGTCATTGTGGTGTTTACTCGTCTTCCTCAAAACCTTAATGAAGTGCAAATTGGGTAACTTTTTGAAAGCAATACTCCTTTTTGTAATTAGCAGAATTTTCACATTTTACAGATTGTGAATATCAAGATGAAAATTTTCTAGTACATCTTGTAGTTATTTTTGTTCTAGCATGCTTGTAGTTATCATTTAATATGTGGACGAGCTAAAAATTATGCCATTGACACATTCTAGTATTTTGTTGGGTTTTCTTAAATATCAAGAAAAAGTTCAAAACAATCACCCAACTATAGTTGGTTAAATATCCCAGAAGGTAAATAATAATTACCAATATAATTTATGCCATAATAACTTACTAGTTTGATGCTTTTTATAAATATCTCTTTTACAAATTATTTTCTCTTATTATTTAGCAGGTTAATGTTCATTTAAATTTTTTGTATTATTAAATTACAAAATAGAGCAATATTAGAAATGTAATCTCACATACTCATGCATTATCTAAAATACCCTCACATTTAACTTTGGTATTAATTTTAACAGTCATTTTTTGCCCTATGATTAAATCTGATTAAGTTTCAATAGTTGAGAGATTAATTTGGGGGCTTGGGGCAATGCAAAACTTAGGGACTAAATTGGGCACTTATAATCGGGGACTATTTTGTGCATTTTCTCCTTAAATATTAAGCAATTAAGTAATTATTTTTCAAATCTAGTGCCAGATTCCTGCTCATTACTTATTTGTTCAAATTAAGGGCCGACTATATTATATTGGTAATCACGTGAAGGATGAGCCCAAATATATGAAACATGCTGGTTTGAGTCTAGGTTTGGCAAAGCTTTGCAGCACGTGTCAGAGAATGTGACACAAGTGGCGAGGCCTTCTCAAACATTGTGTTGTTGCACGTGGGAGGCTTTCCCAAGGAAACTCTCTTGAAAAAACAGGGTTTTACCTTGGAAGAAGCTTGCTGTGGAGATGGGCATACCCTTGCTGCTCTGCCAAACAAACTCTATGTCATGTAATCAGGGAGACTCTTCTAAGTCGTTATTTGATTCTAGGTTTACTTCGGCTCCCCTTATTACTTGGCCTAGTCAGGCTTTATAATAAATTGTCTGATTTTTTCTTCATTGGATAAAATTGCAGAGATGTGCACTACATATCAACTTTTAAAGCATTGTAACTAGCTGTGCTTTATTACCAACTCAAAAACTGTTGTGCCGTTACAGTATAAACTAATTTTTACTATTATATACTCTATAATTTTCTTAAAAGAGTTCAGTGGAAAGGATTTACGACAAGTTTAATTTAATGGCCTGCTCTGTCTTCTATCAATTCATTTATCCTAGCCACCCTCCTCTCTACCACTCAGTTTTCTATTAACATGTCTAGCAACACTGAAACCACATTTTCGAACTCATTTAGGCCTCGTTTGGTTCCCCCGACCTTTTTGTTCGTTCTTAAATGGATGTATTAGGACGGAGAAGCATAATTTTTTTTCTTTCTGGATCGGCATAAATACGAAGGTGTAGTGATGCACCCACGAATCGTCTTACCTGCAAGAATAACCACAAGCAAAAACAAGAAGCAGAACACAAGTTCTATAGAGAAAACTGAGTTTCTTTGTATTAGTGATTTCTTTTGTAAAAAGCTGTGTTTCTCTATGTATCCCCTTTTCTATATATCTTTCTTCCTATTGCTGTAAAAGGAAAATCAACCTATAAAAGCAAATGCTGTACTTAAAAACAGAAAGGGAAAATAAGCTAGTGAAAAGCAGTAAAAAGTGAGGAAGTTTGTTATTGGTGGTAAGTTGTCTAAGAACTTCCCTTTAGCTATCGTGTACCGCATCATGTAGCAAAAGGTGTTTTGAAAAAATCACGTAAACAAACAGTAAGATAATAATTTTTTTCACCGATTGAAATCGGAAACGGAGAACTTGCGGCCAACCAAACGAGGCCTTAGTTTGAAGTCTTTTAAATAGATAACACGGTTTACAAAATCGTGATTTCATCTTCACTCATTTTGTGGGAAATTGAAATTGTTATATTTGATGGATTTTAAGGGTATTTGCGGAGCGTAAAAGTCAATCTGGATCGTTAACCAAATGATGGGCTTAGCAAACGTCATCTTTTTTCAAAACGTGTTTTAGCAACCAAATGGGATCTATGAAAGGTTTAGTTTTTTCTTGATATCTCACGTTTTGTATTGCGTCTACAGTGTCAAAACTTTATGGTCCACTGTACTTCACAGTAAGAGAAGTCACGGAGATAATTTCTACAGAGCAGCCTTGTGATCTGGTATATGAGTTTGGTGATGGACTATTAGACTTGTCTGAATTTCCCGAAGGCTTCCCTATACCTGGTATATTATTCTCTTACTCAAACTACAATGTCAGTTTCATTTATTTCTTTATTATTAGCTGATATTGTCCCCTTGCTTTATGATCTTGATTCGGTCAAATCTGCAGCGAAGCATCCCTGGCCTTTCAATGACCATTTGGTCATATACATTCGACATGCTGGACCTGGAGTTGTGGTAGGTCAGGCATGGCAGGAAGGGAATGATTTGGATCAAGTGCCTAAGAAGTTCTGTGGTGAGATATTAATGGTGAAAGACTATATTTCGAGTTTATAACGGTGGTAGGTTCAATATTCCTTGTGATTTTTTCATATTACTGATATTAAATAACTGAACGCCATTTTTTTTTTGTATGGTTGCTGTTAATTCTTGATTGCAACTTAAATTTCCTAATTTTTTGGGATTTTTACTGCTAATGCAACCATTCAATTCTAATATACTTCTAGTATCAAAGATACTATTCAAGAATTCTAGTTGGAACTAATGCTAGTATATGATTCTGTTGATCTGAAGTTAGATCATGTTATAGTTTATATGTAGTGATTTCTATCCTTGCAAATATGAGCATACAAGTCATTTTTTTATAGCAGCAAGTAGACAGAATCACTTCAAATATAAACTACCTGGAACACTCTGAATCGGTTTTAGTGCATCGTCACATTCAGGGTTATCTAATATGCTAACCCAGCTAATCAACCTGCATTGATTGTTTTGAGATGTTTTGTGAATTGGTCTTTAGTAAGAAAAGTTGTGGTAAATTTATGGTGTGTTTCTGGTCAAACCTGATAATTAAATCCAGAAATTTGAAAACCTTCAAATTGCTCCCGTTTAAATTGATTTAGAAATCAGTTTGGCTTCAACTTGGAGATGGCTCACTTATAGACCAGGATCGGCCTAGGTGGGCTGGACGAACTAGCCCGGGGGGCTGGTTTATTTACCTGGGTTACCGTAGCCGCTGGCCCCCTTGGTGGGGCCCAGTACTTGAATATGAGGGGGCTGTTAGGTAGGTTATTATTTAGGGATGAGCTGTTTAATAAATTAGGGTTGTATTTGTGTGTTTTAAAATAGACGAGATTTTTCTTAGGTTAGGGTTATGTGGTTATTTGTTGAATTTTGATAGTTCCTAAGGTTTGTTTGGGCTCTAGCCGCTGACTAGAGATTGGGAGAGACGGATCCTCCTCTCCAACTGAGGATCCATTATATCTTGTTCGTTTTTTTTCATCTTTTATCAATAAAAAAGTCTATTTCTAGTTATTTCTTCCAAAATTTTCTCCAATATATTTTTGTAAGTGCTGGAATTTAAACTCAGCAAAGGAAATTCTTGTGCCTACAAACATTTACTATCACTCACCTTAACAAAAAGTGTGGCCAAACTTACATACACTAGAACTTTTTTATCAGTCTCACTTGGCTCGCTATCCTATGAGTTTTTTCTCTCAGTAAATTTGGCCTATTATTGTGATTATCCTCATTTGTCCTTTTATACTATGAGTTTGAATACTTTTTTTTTTTAGAGAGAATTATATATATATTACAATACAATTCTTGCATTTTTATATATTTAAAATACAAATTATATCCCACTTATATAATATCACTTCCCATCAAAGAATATGCATCAAAATGTGTGTTTCATTTTAGATAGTTAATATTAGTCATATTTTTTATATGATTTAGATATTAAAGTGTTAAATTATATATTCTAATTAATTTTCATATTTATTACATTTTTTAATCATTTGACCTTTCTTTTTGGTTGTCATGGATTGCAATCGTTTGATTGTTTACTGGAGGAACCGTTGGCACTATCTGATACGAAACAAAAAGAAAACAAAGAAAAAAAAAAATGCTGATGCCCTAATGTCTCCAATTAAAATTTATTTATAGAAATATAATATTCACAAATATTTATAAAATAACTATTAGGAGGCTTCGTTTGGGATGACTTTCTTATTACTTCTTAAAGCAATTTTTTAGTTTATTTATAGAAATATAATATTCACAAATATTTATAAAATAACTATTAACTCCTAATACTTGTTGCTTGTAAACTATATTGCTCTAATTATAATCTATCCATTATATTATCCTAACACCATCTCTTGAATGAAAAATCTATGTGATATCAAGCGAAGTAGGAGATTTAGGCTTCATTTGTAACTAATTTCTTATTGCTTATTAAAATAATTTTTTAGTTAAAAAAATTATTATTTTTAACTTAAAGTCATCCGAAATGGAGCCTCAAACTTAACTTTATATAAACATATTTATTTTTTAAAACTTGATGATCAATATATATATATATATATAGTAAGTTGGAAAAAGTTTTGAGACATTGCACTCTAAAATGACACAATGAAAAAAAAAAAAAGATTTATGTTGCTGACCCTATATATTAGTTCCCAAACTTTTTCTAAAAAATTAAAATAGCTCTTAATTATATAAAATATCAATTTTCTTCATTGAATTTTTAAATATGGACTAAATTAATTTTTTAGTGAGATCATTTAGGCCTTTATTTAAAAAATATAAAGCACTAAAATAGGGATTTTAAATAGTAAGGACAATTTTGATCTTTTGTAAAAAATTTGGGAACCATTTAAAGGACTAAATATTTTTCTACCAAAATTAATCCAATAATTTTAGTGCACCTTGTAATAATAATAATAATAATAATAAAAGATTATTCTCATTTCTTCTCCCAAATAAAAAATCACCTCTTCTACCCCTCACCTCCCTGGTGTGGTCACCTCCCACCTTCAATAAATACCCACTCACCTCCATCTTCCCCCTCCCACTCTCCCCCCTCGCCCATCAAGCCAAACCAGAGCATCAAAACCAGGGCAAGATCCAAATGGGTAAAGACGTCGAAGTAATCGAATCCGGCTCCCAAAACGTCACTGAGTACACCGCGAAAGACTATACCGACCCCCCTCCCTCCGCCCTCTTCGACTTCGAAGAACTCGCAAAATGGTCTCTTTACCGCGCAACCATCGCCGAGTTCGTCGCCACCCTCCTCTTCCTCTACGTCACGATCCTCACCGTCATCGGCTACAGCCACCAATCCGATCCCCTCCTGTCACCCAACGCTGACTGCGAAGGCGCCGGAATCCTCGGCATCGCCTGGGCTTTCGGCGGCATGATCTTCATCCTCGTCTACAGCACCGCCGGGATCTCCGGCGGCCATATAAACCCGGCCGTGACCTTCGGCCTTTTCATCGCTCGCAAAGTCTCGCTTTTTAGAGCCCTGCTTTATATGGTGGCGCAGTGTCTCGGAGCTATATGCGGAGCCGGTTTAGCTAAAGCGTTTCAGAAGGCGTATTATACCAGATATGGCGGCGGAGCGAATGAGGTGGCGGATGGGTATTCGAAAGGGACGGCTTTGGGGGCGGAGATCATCGGAACTTTTGTTCTTGTTTATACTGTCTTCTCCGCCACCGATCCGAAGAGGAGCGCACGAGATTCGCACGTGCCGGTTAGTATTCTACTCTCTTTCTCTCTCTATTTTTTTTAAATGACTAAAATTATAGATTTTTTAAGATTTAAAATTATTTATTATTAATTAAATGCATTAAATTTTTTATTCAATTAAACGAGCACAAAAAATCCAAATATTTGAAATTAAATAAATAATTAATTGATGATATTTTTGTTTATTAAATAGTTTTAATTGGTGAAAGATATGCATAAAATTAAATTTTAAATATTTTTTATATACTATCAAAATTTACTATATATTTTTATATGTTTTGATAAATGATTATCTATATAAAAAATTATGAAATTTAATTCATAAATTATTTTCATATCATAGATTGTAAAAAACTTTATATTCTTTACTTTAAAGGTTATATAATATGATAAGTTCAAATTTAAAAAATTAAAAGAAATTATTATTCCTTTTCTTTAAAAGTTTATTTAATAATATTAACTGCAAAATAATAATTTAAAATAGATACTTGGCCATTGATCGTCGCTACTATGGCCTCTCCGACCAACATCGCTGACTACGGTCATTACAACCTCCATCGCCAGACAATGATTGTCTTTCTAACAACATTCGCTCTATGACTATGGTCCTTCCGATCATCACCGCCCGACTACAATCTTTTTGACCTACTTTCCCATCCAACCATTGTCATTTTGACCACCATTGTCAACTACGATCTTTTTTACCTACGTCACTTTCCAACTATGGTCTTTCCGACGTATATCGCTCGTCAACTACGGTCTCTCCAACCTTCGTCACCCGCTGATTATGATCTTTCAGACCTCCGTCGTCTATTGACTACGTTCTTTCTAACATCCGTCGTCTACTGACAACGATCCTTTTGACCACCATCGCTCAACAACTATTGTCCTTCCGACCATTGTCGCCCGACTACTGTCTTTTCGACCTTCTTCGTCTAATGACTACGATCATTTCAACCATCATCGCCTGACTACAGCCTTTCTAAATCCATCACCCGACGACTATGATCTTTCTAACCTCCATCGCCCACTGATTGCAGTCTTTTTGACGTCCGTTGCCTGCTAACTACAGTCCTTATGACTAGTTTCTCTCTGACTATGATTATTCTTACCACTGCCGCACGAATATTGTTGTTCTGACCTCCATTCCCCACCTACTATAGTCCTTCAATTCTAGACTTTATCATTCGTCGACTATGGTCCTGCCGACCAAACGAATATGTTAGCACTAGATCTTCCAACTCCCACCATGTAATGCATTCTATATGATATATATTTACTACATTGAGCTAAGGCCTTTCCCCCAAGGAGGACCTAATTTGTAATCAACCACAAACACTAATAGATTCATTCAAACTAGGCCAGTTCTCATGGTTTCTCCTCCTTTTCAAGAGTTTCCACGTAAAACTTTGGTGTCTCTTATGAATGCTACACACCTAATTTCTTATCTGTTTGTGTGCTGAACCTTTGTATAATACTAAGATGTTAAATTTTATATTTTTCTACCAACGTGAATATTCCAGGACACAACAATTACAAAGGATCGAAATGTAATAACACTAATCTATATTTTGTGAGGTAATTTTTTCAATTTTAACTAAGACAATCTCATTTTAAGCTTATCTCATAATTTTAATATTCACAGTGAAACTTTTTAGAAAATTTTCCATCCCAATCTTGTGTTCAATCACAGGCACAATAAATTGTTTACTTCCCAATGAATTTCTTATGCTACACAAAAAAATCTCCTCTCATGTTATTTCTCAATTAACGCTTAGACACTTTTTAAATTCATACACAGAAATTCCTTAAAAACTATACATGAAAAAATAATCAGAGACTCAACAGATACTATTCTTGGCTCACAATTTTTAACAGAAAAAAATCTAATAAATTTCATTTAAGTTGCTAGATCTTGTAGATTTAATAGGTCAAATCCATGGGATCAAAATCAGAAAATATTTTGAATGCTTTCTTGTCTTCATGTTGCAGAGAACTGAATCGAGAGTCACCATTCAAACTTTTGATCCATGTGCCATTTCGGAAAGGAAATGCAGTGCCATTACAGAAGGTGCAGCTTGAAAGGATGCAAGCAGCTGATAGCCTTAAGTTCTATCCAATCCTGAATGTTTTACATGGCGCATTCTTCAGATAAGACTATTTATATGCTTCTCTCCTTCGTCAACTTCGAAACACGTGAAATATCATTCAGATGGAGTTATCTGTTCGCAACAGTGATATTCTTCTGAAGACTTCTGGTTAGATCTCTTAGAGCATAATGCGTTTGAATAGTGCAGAGATAAATTTATCATTTTGAAGTTTACTTTCATTCGCTACTATCTACATATACTGATAAGGTTTACCCAAAAAAAAACATATACTGATAAGAACTTGAGATCAATCAATATCATCATTATCATTGTCTATTGATCTATGCAGTTCATCTTAATCTGTTGATTAGAAGTTTTAATTATCAATCAAACAGCTCATCTTAATCTGTTAATTGGTAGGTTTAACTATCAATGAAAAGATATTAAATTCAAATATCATAAAAAAGAAAACTTTTTTCTTCATAAAAAAATTCATATTGATTAATGATTTCCGAATGTTTTAACGGTTAATTTAGTTACACGCATTGCAATAGAACTCCACATATGGAGAGATTATTTTGTGGGGAAATTGGACACAGAACATCATCCAGAGACCAATCAGAATACGTCACATCGGCGATACCTAGCCGCAGTATAGAGTACAGGATAACGTGGAGCATTATAGTTAGTCTCCAGACGACGTTCGGCATCCGCATGGAATAATTTCACCAGCAGGCCAAGGCCGGAAAGCTGAACATTTGTATTATTAAAGACTGCTCTCACAGGCAAGTAGTTGAAGTTTTTTAGTCTTAGATGCCAATTATCAATATGTGACTATCACATTAGTCATTTGAAAAGCAAATGAACACTTATAGAGCTGTATTTTCCGTATGAGACTTAGCTATTAATAGTTGATAATTTCAGTTTATTTCCATTAATGTTCTTGGATGAAATGAATACAGTTGCAGTGCCGAGTTTTGCCAACGATATATACCGAAGTAACAGTGGCCATTTTTTATTATAATAAATCATGAATTATATTTTATAATATTAATTTGAATAAGAAATTAATGTTTAAACTTTGCATACAGCAGCATAACAGAACAAAAGATAAGGATTTTTTTTTAAAATTTTTTTTTTTCACGCATATTCTCGATAGAAAATTAACAGAAAATAAGTTTGAAAAATTCTTCCAATACCTGTGTACAATACAAGAAAATACTTCTTTGAAATAAGAGCTACAGGCTTAAGCTTTGGGCATGTAGTAAGTGGTATTCCCATCACAATTGCAGAAGCACAATCTAATGTAAAAAATTTTCATTAATGATGAGAATTTCAGATAGAATATGATTTCATATATTTCACATAGATCCGTGCAAGACATCCACAACAAATACATGATGCTCCATATGATCTGAAATAAAATTTTCTCTTCTTAGACAATAAACAAAGTTTTCTACATTCTTTCAAAATTCAAAATATAAATACAAATACATGATTATATTATAAAACTAATCAGCTCAAGAGGGATAGATAGGAAGAAAGAAGGTGGGGTGACAAGAAAAAATATAAACGATGCAAGTAATTATAAACGGAATAGAGAGCGGCCATGATCTACTCTTTCCGTTTAATAAGTCTTGCAAGGTCAAGAAAGATGCGATAAGAAGAAAAACGACAAAAAGAGTGAATAAGGTGAGATGAGAAAATAGATTGAGGAGAAAAAAAAAAGCTCAGTAAGGATAACACCAGCTTCAAGCAAATTCTCTACCGCTATTACGACGCTTCATTCTGTTTTTATATTGTATCAACTCACAAGAGAAACGCAAAGAAATACCACACCATCTCATACAGCAAGAAAGATCCTTGAGAAGAAGATGAAGAGCTAGTGCTGGAGAATATACTCTGTTGCCATAACCGAGATGGCAATGGCAAGGATAAAGGCATGGAGGTACCTTATACAGGTAACATGAAAAGGCATGCAGCTGCGATGAAGAAAAAATATGTGGAAATTGGGATATATATAGAAGAATGGTTGCTTTTAATTTTTCATACAACTACCAGTGCATTTCATATTTGCAAATTTATCCTCAACAAAAAAAAATGATGGCAGAAGGTATATATTTCTTTTTTTTTTTGGGACATTTAGGCCATTTAAGGCAAACTCACACACACAACGCAAACACATAGACTCGAACCCTGGACCTCTTACTTGGAAGCCTAAGCTCTCAACCAATAGGCCAAGGAGAGTTGTGTTATATATTTCTTTCACAGCACATAAATTATTTGATCCATTCTGGCATTTGTATGCGGTCAACTTTTTTTTTTTGGAAGATCAACTATAATTGAACAGGTTTATTATATAATATGTGTTAACATTTAAAAGAAGAATATTAAACAATTTTTTATTTATAATAATATCATTTAAATTTTAAAGAGTATGGTTAAATTATTATTTTTATTATCATTGATATATTAAATTCTTAATAATTTTATTATCCATGAATTTTCTAATTAACTGTAAATTTTTTTTAGATAATTTACCTCAGTACAAATTTTACTTAAAACCCCATCTGGCTGTCGACGTACAACTCCTATTTGTTTAACCTGCTTAACGTGTCATTGCCTGTTTTTTTTTTTTTTATTTTTTTTTTTTTGGTAATTTTTATTTTGTTTTGAGCTAACTATTTTAATTGTATTTATAACAGCTCAGTTTGCTGCCCCTCGCCAATTATATTTTTTTGCTTTATGGCACTGACCTTTTTAATATTTATAAATTTTTTTTATTTAATAAGATTATGCTTAGAATATCACCATTCCTAGTTAAAAAAAAAACAAAATAAATGAATATAATTCTTCTCATCACATTTGTCAGCTGACCAAACAATAAGATATAATTTTATGTAAACATGGAAGACCTCCAGAATGGGAGCAGTACTGACATTCCCAATTGTGCGCTTCTCCTCCTGCA